AAACTTATTTGAAACTTTTATCTCATTTTTTTTCTCTTAAACACCCCCAGCTTTTTTACTAAACTTTTCACTAGAACCATTTTTTCACAACACTAGATTTTATACCAAGTTTGCACTACAGGAAAAGGAACAGGCAAGTACATTTCACTTTAGTTTAGTCTGAGCTAAAGCCATGACTTCCTGAATTACTGTTGTTTAGTATTACTTTCTTCCTGCACAAATTCTTCTGTACAGCTTTTTAATTAAAAAATATGTATTTCCAAGTGGAAAATCAAATTGAAATAAAAATGTAAACATGGGTTTAGAAAAAAAAATTACAGAATACATTTTCATTTCCTCCTTTCAAAAATGTATAAAAAATTAAATATTCTATGAATGATAGTTTTAATCAGTTTTGATTAAATGGAATGTTCAAGTGCATCTTTTGAGTAGCCCCAAGTTTTTACTCCTGTTTTATGCACTGTGGTTTGTTTGCTGAAAGCTCATTAGCTAAACTCCAGAGATAACACTGAGTATCTTGTGCCACAAAAGGAACACTCAGATTGGTTGATGAGAAAATGAACATGAGCCAGCAGTGTGCTTTTGCAGCCCAGAAAGCCAACAGTATCCTGGGCTGCATCAAAAGGAGCGTGACCAGCATGTCAAAGGAGGTGATCCTGCCTCTTTACTCTGCTCTCATGAGACCTCACCTGGAGTATTTTGTGCAGTTCTGGTGTCCTCAACATAAAAAGGACACGGAACTGTTGGAACAAGTCCAGAGGAGGACCACAGGGATGATCAGGGGACTGAAGCACCTCCTGTATGAAGATAGGCTGAGGAAGTTGGGGCTGTTCAGCCTGGAGAAGAGAAGGCTCCGTGGAGACCTCATAGCAGCCTTCCAGTATCTAAAGGGGGCCTATAGGGATTCTGGGGATGGACTCTTCATTAGAGACTGTAGTGATAGGACAAGGGGTAATGGGTTCAAACTTAAACAGGGGAAGTTTAGATTGGATAGAAGGAGGAAATTCTTTCCTGTTAGGTGGTGAGGCACTGGAATAGGTTGGCCAGTGAGGTTGTGAATGCTCCATCCTTGGCAGTGGTCAAGACCAGGTTGGACGAGGCCTTGGGTGATATGATTTAGTGTGAGGTGTCCCTGCCCATGGCAGGGGGGTTGGAACTAGATGATCTTCAGGTCCTTTCCAACCCTAACTATTCTATGATTCTATGATTCTATTCTATGATTCTATGATAATGTACAGCTCTGTGGAGTGAGGGTTTTTAATTATACAAAATTTTTCAATTGCATACATAAACCACTGTTTTATCAGAATTTAAATGGATATCATATAGTTTGTGATTCAAATTAAAAACTGAAAGATTGATGCTGTTCTGACCTACTCAGCAGAGAGGCCAGAATCCAAGAGGTAGAAAATGGTACAGTACACTGACAGCCTGAGTAACATTTTTATAAGCTTGGTAGATCTGTGTAAGTTTTCATTCTCGTTGGAAATAATTTTTTTAGGGATTACATGAATAATACCTCAGAATTGGAACTGGATGAATTTCTCATTATAAGAGAAGCACACAGTATGTTGCAAGGTAAATATAACTGTCCTGCTTTTCTTCTGAGCAAGAAAGGATTACGTGTATTTGAGTTGATTTATTCTTTAATATGCACTGAAATCTGCTATTGCTTTTTCAAAAATGCAAAATACTTCTATTTCATATTTGTCTGTAGCTTTTCAGTCATGCAGATAAGTGACTGCAGACACAATGAGATACCTGCTCAGGGACTACACAGACACTATCCAGATCCTGAATATAAAAAGAAAGGTGCTTACTACATACTCTATGGAATTTGCATATTGTCATCTAAGATTAAATTGCTTAAGCTTACTTTATTTAACACTCACTTGATTTGTTGAGCTGAAAAATATTATACTGACTTTGTGATCATTCACCAACCTTCAGCTCTGTTGAGATGATGTGTCTGGCTCAGGTGAGCATTTAGGAAGTTTTAAGCATGTTGCCTTCTTATCTATCATTTTTCATAATGATTTTTTTTTCTTCAGGCTTTAATTAATTCTCTCTCATTATATCTTTCACATTTCCACCCAGGTATTATTTTTAAGCAGCCTGTAACTTTTACATCAGTATTAATAAAGAATTTATTGCAAAACAGAATTAATCATCTTTTCTCCTCCTCCACAGTCCCCCTTACACCACCTCATGTTAATCTAGATAGCTGAACTGGTACAATTAATCACCCAGGCTTTACTCTTCTTAAAATACAGCAAAAGCTTCCACCCAAAAGCCTGCTAAAAAGAGTGTGCTTTGCAGAACACCCACAGGAAGTCAATCCCTAAGCAATGTCTGGCTGGAGAGCTAAAAGGTATAGTATTACAATGCCAAATACTCTGCTGATATAATCCTCATTGTTACATAAACAGGCTCCATCTTGAGTACATCTCCTTATCCAAGGATACAGCAAGCGTCTGAACAGAATCTGGTAAGCAACTGACTTCATGATGTGTTAACCTTCACTTACCATACAAAGAAGTTAGAGTAAGAAGCCACACAAATTCTTTTGCTCTGTGAGTTACCTTGCTTACACACAGACCACCCCTCCAGGCTTTCTCAGCTATAATCTAGTAACCCCTTAATCATTCCTTTCTTCTTTATGTTTTTGACAACCTTCACTTAAAATCAATCTTTGAGTTACTATTTTAACTTAAGTTGCAGAAATTACTCCATTTGCTCAAGTAACTTTTTTTTTTAAAAAGTCAAGTCTTCAGTACTGTGTTAAGTGACATGGATATGAAACAGAGATTTTGTCTATTCAGGAGTGCAGACATTGTGATGCTCATTCACTTAGCACACCCATAATACATACTTTTGGCTCCCTAAAGACAAGATACCTCAGCCCACACCACTGAATCTATTATTAAGATTACAATGTCAATGAGTCAAGGAACACTTCCTACTTAACAACAGTCCAGGTTGTCAATAGCAAATGTACATTTTATGTACATTTTATGACGAGAAATCAGCAGACCACTTATATACTAAGGTAGTTCCTGAGTAAATTTGAGGACTAAGTGTTTTGAAAATACCACCCTTCAATTCTGTTAGGAATACTAGAACCTGAGGCATAAATTCCATTTTCAGTGAGTATATCAGTTTTATTCTGCCTAGTTACTGTAGCTTCTATAACACTAACGTTACTGGCTAGCCATAAAAACATACTTTGATTTCTTTTTTGTAGGACATCAAAAGCTATTCTTCCAGTCTGATTTAATGCAATGCCATTTCATTGTAACAAAGTCAAAAGAAAAAATACATGTTCTCCTGTAAAGAAGGAGACTACCTTACACCAGTGATAGTTCACAGAACTGCAGATATAGTAGAACATAAGCATTGCTAATGTGTGCTTTTCTGGTGGCAACATTGAAGCTGTACTTCGTAAGGCATATCAAATTCAGCAGAGGAATGTGGACAAGGCAGCTGAGTATCAAAGACATACAAGTTAATTACTTGAATATACCCTAAATAGCATTTGGAAAATGTTCATTTATTCCTATGGTTCACAACATTCAACCCCTTGTGACACCTATTTCCCTCAGTTGAGCCAAGACAATGAAAAATCATCTTAAGTGTGTAGCTTCATATACTCTCCCTGTACACACAACTGCATGAGATACAGCCTCTGTGCTTCTCTATACAGCCCCTTATGACTCTTTAGCTGGAAGCACAGTGCATTCAGTAATTTTCCTAGCCCAGGAATGATTTTTTAGACTTACAGTTTCCAGATCAGGAGAGGAGATTTCAAGATCAAGTGTTTTTTGTTTCTGTTTAAAATACAAACTCTAGTGGGAAAGACTCGAGTGAGAATTAATTTGGAAATTCTGATGATGATGGACAAAACAGAACACAGCTTGCCCACCTGCAGCTATACTGGCTTGTCAGTACTGAGAAGAAAGTAAGTATGTTTCTGTCACAGAACTAGACACAATATTCAGAAGACACATAAGAGATATATAAAGTTTATATATATATAAAGTTGATTCTTCTGACTATATTCACAGGAAAGGCTTCTCCTCAAGAACTATCATTAGCAGATCAGTGCATGCTATTTCTAAAGTAGGCCTTTGAGAGTATTTTATATTCGCTTGGTAACTCTTATATCGATTCACCTTAGTACAAGAGAGTTCACTTTGGCTACTCTTCTATCGATTCACCCGAGTACAAGGAAAAACAAGTTCTGCTAAATATAAGGAAGTTTTCAACACAAACTGCATTTTTTTTTCTCCAGGAACATGAAAAAGATAACCTATTACTTCATAAAATAAACATTTCCTGATAGAAAGGCATATTTTATTCTAAAAGCAATTTTTTTTTTATTTATTGAGAGGGTCTCATTTTTTTATTGGGGAAAAATCATAGTGATGACTACTGGTTACCTGCCTGGAAGACTGTTGTGAATTTTATTGTTTTACTTGGGAGACAGAAAAATTGACAAGATTGTATCAGACACCTCTAGGAAAGCAGGGAAGAAGAGGGAAGTTAGTTTGTCCTCTTTGCCTGCTACAGCACTGCAGCCAACACAGTCTTCACTCAGAGAGGTTCACTTAATTTGATCTACTGCCAATTAATATAAGCCTTGAATTTTTGATTGCATTAATATTTTCCCCTCAATTACACAAACACTTAGGGAACACCTTCCCCACTGGCCCTTCCCCAGGCTCAACTTATCCCAACATCTATCTCTCCTCTCTTCTCTCCTAGCCTTAGCTTTCATTATTTTTGCAGTACACAGTGGAGAATGCTATGGATGCTGTCTAGTAGCTTACTTTTGCCAGTGCTTGCTTATTCATCTTTTTTTTTTCCCATAGCTACTGGTTTCTTACTGCTCCTCTGTTCCAGCACAAGCTGTCTGTGAGTCACAGTCTTGTGGGCCTGCCTGTTGTCTGTGCCCTGGTGCGGGCAACTCACTCACAGTCCACAGTCCCTCAGGGCCATACCTCTGGCAGGAAGCACTTCTCCAGCTGCATATCCAAGCATGTTGCTTTCCATGTCTCCTCTACTTTCTCCTCCATTTTCTCTTGAAACAAGCCCCTTCACATTCCTGTTTTAATATACATCTTTATAAACTGTACTTTTAGCATAATCACAACTTTAATATACATAAATTGCAAAGTCAGTCGGCCACTCCTCTTAGACAAGGGAGATTAAATTGTTACAATGTGCTCGCACACTAAGTACATCTCCATCCATTGTCTCTGGAAACTATACTGTGGCTCTTAATGTCACCACAGTTTGAATAAACGCCATTCACAAACCTCCCCTCTTCCTGCAAAATGCAAACCCCAGACGCTTACATGACTTTGAACACAGCCTTTGCGACCAGACCTCGTGTTCTGCAACCGAGGGGCGGCTTCCCCCGCCAGGGCGGTCACTTCATCTCGCCGCGCGCTCCCGCACCACTGGGGCCGCGTCTGCAGCTGTTGGGCGATACCCTGGGCCCCGCCGAGCGCCAGCTGCCGCCTCCGTTAGCGGCGCGTAGCTCTAATGAAGGCTGTCAGCCCACCCGGCTCTGCTGAGCGGCCACGGCTGAACGCGGCCGGCAGCGCATGGTGAGCCCCGGGCACCCCACGGCAGCTCTTCATACCCGACCACAGTGCTGGTGCTGCCAAGTTCCAGATTCAGTCCCAGCCTCCGGAGGGCAGTACTCCCGTTCTCCATCAGTTACTGCCGCAGGCAAACTTCCTCGACTTCAGACCTTTCATCCCTTTAATTTACTGCCGATGAACAGAAACTTTTAATTCCCGGTATTGAGGTAAACGCTTCCCCCCCCCCCCCCGCTTCCTGAGGTTCAACGCCAAACACCTCGTCACACACCTACCCTCTTCCCCGCCCCAGGTTACACTTCCTTCCCCCTCCGGTAAGGCGAGGGCGGACAGCTCAGGCGAGGGGGTCGGTGCCGCGGTGCCCGTCTGCAGCTCGCTCCTCGCCCTCCGCCGGTAGCTGCCTCCTCCCGCTCCTCTGCCCCGGCGTGGGCCGCAGCCGCCTAGGGGCGCCCTCCCGGAGCGGGGAGCCTCCTCCTGAGAGCGCGGCTCCAGCCGTGTCCCCCTCAATCGGGCGCCTCGTGTGCGGCCTCTCGGCGACCGCTCTGCCAGCGCTCTTCGTTTGCTCCCTGCTGTGCACAACCATTGCCACCCTTCAGGGCGACCACCTGCCCGATCAGGGTACCCGTGGCAAGCTGGCAGTTCGTGCTTTCCCACCTCTCAGGGCAGTGGGTGAGCCCGGTACAGCCCTATGCCAGGGGTAGCAGGAGGGGGGCATTGCAGCGTTGGCGAGCCTGGGCGTTTGGGGAGAGATTGCTTCATAACAACACTGTTTCAAGAGGAAAGAAAGTGGCAGAGGTGGGAGCCTTGCAGTGACGCAGGCAGTATATTGGAAAACAATGCTTTCGTTCTTCAAAGGGTGGATTTTGGGGTGGTGGTGGCTTTTCGTCTTAGGAGGAAATCTGGTTTTCGTTTTCAGGTTTTGATGGTTTTTTTTGTTTGGTTGTTTTTTTTTGTTTGGTTGTTTTTTGGGGGGGTTTTGGGGGGTGTTGGTTTTTTTTGTTTGTTTGTTTGTGGGTTTTTACCTAATTTAAAAAGGAAATGTATTCAAGTTAAAATATAATTCCAACCTCTCCCCAGAAACCCATCAGCGTCTAAGAATTGTAATGGTCTTAGACAGGAAAACACTAAGAGGCTGTGCAGCCTATATACCGTGTCATCTCAGTGAACTCCCTGCGCTGCTGCCAGCCCCATATGAATTTCCAGCCCCTTCCTCACAGCAGGGAATGCTGCAGTATTGTTCAAAGGGAATTTGGCGTCCCTGCAGTAGCAAGAAGACACTGAGACTCCTCAGCATGGGCTCAATCTCCCCCAAACCTACCCCAATAAATCAACTGCTCTCACCCCATGGTCAGCAACAGTAAGGTTTTATTTATGAGATCTAAAATTGTCTTTTCCATATGAGTAAATTCCTGGGTTAGTGGCAAGTTGGGTATGAATTATTGTGCACATCTCCTTACCCAGAGCCCTCTGCTCCCCTCCCCAAGACCCCCCTTGCAATGTGCTGCTGCTTTCATCCTCTGCAGGGAGCCCAGTGTCCCCCGAAACCCCCGAAGCTGCAGTGACTTCAAGGCAGTGGGTGGCTGAGCGTGCTGGCTCAGGCACGAAGAAGGGGCTCCTGCAGCCACCTAGTCCTCCCCTCCGCACAGGGACAGCAGAGCCATGTGGCAGTCACTGGAGGTGTCCTTCTGCAAGAGGGAGACCCATGTCAGAACTGGGAAAGCCCAGGGCAAGGCATCGGGAAGGAATATTTCCATGCCACAGATGTCAGTACATCCCCTCTACAGCCAGAAATGCCAACACTGGAGCTGGTTGGGGTACTTCTCCCTCCCCAGGTGATGCTCAGCCCCTGTGCCACTCATGGCTATGGATCCTATAGGACCAGGACCCAACCAGACAAAGTGACAAACCAGGGAGGGATGCCCGTGTGCCCTCACCTCAATCATGCGGTACAGAGATTTGTTGAACAGGTCCATTAACTTGCCCTGGATGTTGAGCAGGTCAATCTCGCTCTGGGAAATCATGATGCGGGTGAGGGTCCTCTCATCCGTGCCAGCACCCTGCAAACGGGAGATTCAGCAAGTAACCCCAGAGGGACCGGAGCTCGGGGACCCTCCGGGCATCTCCAGAACAGCCCAAACTGGAGATTGGGTCCAGAGGAGAGCCACAAAAGTCATCAGAGTTCTGGAGCTCCTTGCCTATAGAAAAGGCTGAGAGAAAAGCCTGGAGAAAAGAAGGGTCTGGGGAAACATTACTGCAGCCTTTCAGTACTTAAAGGGAACTTACAAGATAGCGACAGACTTTTTAGCAGGGCCTGTATCAATAGGAAAAGGGGTGTTTTTAGTTTTAAACTAAAAGATGGCAGATTTAGACTAAATATAAGGAAGAAAGTTTTACAATGAGGGTGGTTCAACACTAGCACAGGCTGCCCAGAGAGGCAGTAGATGCCCCATCCCTGGAAACATTCAAGGCCAGGTTGGATGGGACTCTGAGCGACCTGGTCTAGTGGAAGGTGTCCCTGCTCATGGCAAGGGGGTTGGAATTAGATGATCTTTAAAGGTCCCTTCCAACCCAAACCATTCTATGATTCTATGATCAATTTAAAACTCTGTTAATGTGCATAAGGGGTGTGCTTGAGCCCTATGCGAGAGCCAGCTTTGTGTATGGGGAGCTGGGCTGAGCCCTTCTTGAAGGAAAGGACTTGGAGAGTCTGCCTTGATGGCATGTCCTTACCTGGCCCCTGTACCCAATGGAAAGCTGTCAATGCTTTGGCTGAGTAAGGATTTCCAGTACCAGGCTATTGATGCAGTGAGGGTTTCATGGCAGGAAACTGGTGCAGAGAGCCCGTAAGAATGAATTTTTACTGTAAGAATGAATTTTTTACTGTCTGCAAGCAGGAATCTGAGGGACGAGTAGTCAAAGTGGAGAAACCAGAACACATCTAGATGTTCTCTCTCCTGTCAGAAAAAGAAAAGGTTGTTTGGCACTGTCTTTGTTAAGTAGTAGTGGTACCTGTTAGGGATAGGTACAGCTTGTGCTGGAGTACCAATGGCTATAGTATGCATGATTTTTACTTGAAACTAGCTGCAGTTTGTTACATTAAATAAGTGCCCATTAGCAGCTAGAGAACATGAAGTGTGCTCTGAGTGCATCTTCTGGTTCAACTTCCTCTGCATGTGGATGCTCCTTTTTTTTTTTTAATTAACCAAAGAAAATGCATATTAACTTTTGATTGACTTCAGTGTTTTAGCATAGTAAATGCGTACTAAATAGCATTGAGTACGTTAAGGTTTCACCAATGCATGCAACTGGAAGGAAGCAACACTTCTGATACCTAGTTGTTTAGGAGCCTTGCTGTTTGGGGAATGAAAATGAAGACTGGGAAGAATGCTGCATGCAATTGTTTATTTCTGATCCGTAAGAGGCTTTTTTTTTTTTTTTTTTAGTGTGTTGGGGGAAGATCTTGTGACTCCAGTTAACTGGTTTGACTGTAGTTTGTTAGACTGGACTGTACATAAATTTGGTACCAAGATGATTTTCACAATAAGCACTTTCATAAGATTCCTGCAGGATTGCACTGTAATAAAAAAACCATATCATTTAGGTTAGGAAAGACCCTTAAAATTATTGAGTTCAACCATTAACCCAACACTGCCAAGTCCACCTGTAAACCATGTCCCTAGGCACCATATCTGCACATATCTCCAGGGATGGTGACTCAACCACTTCCCTCGGCATCTTCTTTCAATGTTTGACAACTGATTTGGTGAAGAAGTTTCCTCTAATATCCAATCTAAACCTCTCCAGGCACAACTTGAGGTCATTTCCTCCTGTCCTATTGCTTGCTACTTGGGAGAGACTGATACCCACCTCACTACAACCTCCTTTCAGGTAGTTGTAGAGAGCAATAGGGTTCCCCCCTCAGCCTCCTTTTCTCCAGGCTAAACAACCCCAGATCCCTCAGCCACTCCTCATAAGACTTGTGCTCCAGACCCTTCACCAGCTCTGTTGCTCTTCTCTGGACTCACTCCAGCACCTCAATGTGTTTCTTGTAGTAAGGGACCCAGAACTGAGCACAGTATTTGAGGTGCAGCCTCATCAGGGCCAAATACAGGGGGAAGATAACTGCCCTGGCCCTGCTGGCCTCATTATTTCTGATACAGGCCAGGATGCTGTTGGCTTTCTTGGCAATCACAGGCATCGTTCAATGGGAGGGAAAGAGAGGCAGCCATGAGGGTGTAATGGATGGGAACCTAGCTGGCAGTTGATTCCCTTTCACGACTGAGAACCATAACAAAGGATGTTGTTTGTGACAGTGTATTCAGCACAGTATACATGTTTGTGTTCATTGTGACTGTCAGAAAGAGGCAGGAAAACATAGATGTGCAGCTGTTCTATGACCTTCATACTTGGCTGCACTGGTGTGCCTGGCCAACGCTGTCAGAGTGGACAACGATGAGATCACGAGAAACTGCACGGTCCTATGAGT